GGAGCAGTTGTCATGAACAAGAATGATTACGTACAAAAAATGTTAAGCGTTTTAAGTGATGAAAGCAAGTTTCAACACACCAACAAGATAGAATGTCTGACAGAAGTAGAGGCCCGTATAACCCGACACCTTGAAACGCTTCTCCTACATCGTGTAATTGATGAAACCACCTACAAGCACCTGAAGCCGAGCGGTTCCTCGACACCACAGCTATACGGGTTACCAAAAACTCACAAGCAGGGCATGCCACTAAGACCCATTTTGTCCATGGTAAATTCCCCGCAGCACAAATTGGCCCGTTGGTTAGTTCGGATCCTTGCACCACTAAGGCAACACTACAATTTGCACAGCATTAAGGAATCTTTTGAAATAATTGAAGACCTAGACCAAATCAGCCTAGCCGACAAGGTTATGTGTTCAGTGGACGTTCAATCGTTATTTACTAATGTCCCTTTGCTTGAGACAGTTGATTACATTTGCCGCCTGATAGAAGAGGAGAATTTCCGTCTGCCAATACCGACAGACCTCCTGAGACAGTCCCTGTTACTTTGCACGGAGAATGTCGCTTTCCGATTCGACCACAACACGTATCGCCAAATTGACGGAGTAGCTATGGGTAGTCCGTTGGGACCCGTACTGGCTGATTTTTTCATGCTGATGCTTGAGAGGAAACTAAGTAGACAGATTTCTCAGCTGCCGTATTACAAACGATACGTGGATGATATCCTTGTTTTCGGTTCCTCAAAGATGCAAATCGAACAACTAGTAGATCAACTTAATAATGTTCATGACAACCTGATTGTGACTTTTGAATTCGAATCGAATGGGCGCCTTCCGTACCTCGACATTCTCATGAGTCACAGGGATAATGGGCTGATTAAGCGATCTGTATACCGGAAGCCAACGTGGTCCGGCCAATATCTACACTTCACTAGCTTCTCACCGATGGCACACAAGCGCGCGCTAGTAAAAACATTATTCACTCGGGCCAGACGTATCTGCTCCAACGACTACCTGGCTGAAGAGTTAGAGCTGATCACTAAGACACTTATGGAGAATGGCTACCCAAAGCGATTCATAGACAAACATAGCCAAGTTAGACCGCCCAAGGAGATGGTGTTGACAGCCCCTAAGAAGAAGGTGTACATTGAGCTCCCATTCAAGGGTGACACTGCAACGAAAAGAATAACCAAACGGATTGTCTCGGCCATTCAGCGTACATACTGTGCTGCGGAGGCGGTAATTATCAACAGAACCCGAAAGTTGCCGTTACCTTCAGTAAAGGAAGATGAACCCGTCGGCGCCAAATCCCATTGTGTCTACCAATTCGTGTGTGACTGTGGTATCAGTTACATCGGCAGGACCGAACGGGTTTTAGATTCCCGAGTGAAGGAACACCTACCAAACTGGGTTCAGCGTGAAGTTACCCAATCCACCTCCGATGATACGTGTTCGCGTAAGCCGCCAGCGTCCTCCATAGGCAGGCACATCTTGGCGACTCGTCACCAGGTCAATCCCTTATCAGCTTTCCGGATCTTGTTACGTCATACTAATGCACGCCTTTTACGATTTGCCGAGGCCGTCGCGATAAGCCGAATTAGACCAGCTTTGTGTGTCCAAAAGCAATTAGTTGTCAACCTGCGGTTGCCGTGGACGTAATCTGATAACAATGATCACAACAATAAATTTGATTGGTTTGCCTGTGCCCTGTAAGATATATAAAAGAATTTCCCTGTTATTGTATTGGTACTGACGAGATAATACGAAATGCTAGCATCTGCCAGTATTCGTCTTCTCATTTCGTTGTTCAAACTACTGAAGGGGACTAACTGTTTTAAATTTCTCTGTTTTGCCGGTTACTTTCAGAGCCGTATTTACGTAATTCAGGCGATCGACCAGACGCGCAATATGCTCCTCTGATCAGCTAAACACTAAGATATCATCCACATGCCGGTTATACTAGGAAAGAAGCGATATTTTCACACTCAGCTTCTTTTCAATCATTGACATGGAAAAATCTGCTAGCATTGGGCCCAACGGACTACCCATTGCCACCCCATCTATCCAGCGATAGATAATGTTTTGGAATTCGAAACCGATGTTCTCAGTGTCACGCCTGCCCCTCTACCTTTTCTAACTTGTTCCGTTCTCACCCTACCTCTCGTCTTATATATTTTTATGTTGTTGTGTTGGCACTGAAGAGACAATACGAAATGTTGACATCTGCCAGTGTTCGTCATCTTACGGCATTATTCAAATTACTAAAGGGATCTAACTATTTCAAATAGTTAAAATTTGCTGTTCATATGACACGATCGATACCTTCCCTTACTGTTCGGACGGGTAAGGACTGATGAAGCCGCTTGGCGTGAAGCATCTCAGTGATGAAAGGAATTTGTTCATGGACTCCTTCAGGGGTGGTCAAAAGGCCAAGCTGCTCCACAATGGAAATGCGTACCCAATTTTGCCTCTGTTGCATGTCCTCAATATGAAGGTGTTATGAAAGTATGCAACAGATATTCGCTACTCTGAACTAAGATAACTACCGTTAGTACATCTGTGCTGACTTCAAAGTGATTGGTATCCTAATAGGTATGCAATTAGACCTAACACAGTATCGCTGTTTCAGTGTTTATGAGACAGTAAAGCAAATGAACAGCATGGCATCACCGAAAAGTGGTCAATGAGGAAAGAGTATGCAGCCTGGGAAAATGTGCGTAAAGCGTACACCTCATGTGCAACCTGATCATATATATCTACCATCACGCACATCATGCTTGGTTTGATTAAATACTTAGTCAAGTCCATCGATCGAAAAGGTTTTGCGTTCCAGTACCTGAAATATGTGTTTCCGAAGATCATTGATGCAAAGCTCAACGATGGGATGTTTATTGGGACTGGTATTTGCCAACTAATGACAAATAGTGTTTTTGAATATCGGTTGACTTAATTTGAGTTAGAAGCGTGTCGATCATACAAGACAGTAGGTACAGGATTTTTGTGTGGTACGTAGGCAGAGAAGGATATCACAGGATAGCTCATTGCGGACTACCGGGCTGTCGGTGCTTGAATGTCAATTTAGATGAAAATTTTTTTCATAATTATCGACATTTCCTCTGAGAACTTTGGTCTGTTAGTGATAAGCATTGTGAGCGTTTTCAGTGAGACATGTAAGTAATGGAGCAGCGCTAGAGTGGCAACTGCACGCCTTCTATGATGTTCGACTTTTATTGGTTCCTTCAACTTGATAGCGCTGGATCACACAAACGACCATTTTGGCGAAGTCATCATTTGCCAATACCAAGGTGGAGTCGGTATTTAACGGCAAGTGTTGCAGTGATGGTTCAAAAGTAATTGCCACAAGTTCATGCTTTATACAATATGATTCAATGCATTTAAATCTAAATCGTGTTACGTGGCGTTAACAATATGAATAATAATCGTTTGCATGCTAGGTTTCTTCGGAATGCATTTCTACGCGCAGTAGAATGTTTTCTATCAGAAAAGACATCCGCATTTCTGTGATAGAAGATATATTTTCTGTTGTTGCGTAATGCAATCTACGTAATCCAACAACAAACTGAGCATGGCATAATATTCCTTCTTTGGTTCCTCTTCTTCCCAGGTTCTTCTTCTATTGTGTGTACCAATTCCATTTAAACGGCAGCAGCTCGTTTTCAAATAGTAGGTACTAGCACTTCGCTATGTTGAAATCTCTCCTGTTTAAAGATAAGGAACTAATGTTGAGTAAGAAAATTCTTTCCTAGCCAACCTATAGTTTAAGCATCCATCTGTTCCCGGCTGTCCCTCCGAACAATTTGATTAGATGATGCGTCCATGCATGCAATGGTGGCGACACTTGATATTTATTAGCATACTTGTCATTATTATCACTTTTATCAACTCATCCGTTGTATACTTCTGTATTTCCTAGTTAGCTACCGATGGGCAGTCCTAGAAAGTTAACTAATGGAAACTTCGCATTATATAGGTTGACCAATGAAGGGCGGGCTGCTACTACCTTCCGACATTCAATAAAAAGATGCCATGCTCACAAAAGCCGAATTATGAAACAGGCGTGAGGACTTATCCGCTCTGAATATGTGCATGAAATAACTGGTCTACGTGTTAAAGCGTTGATAATTTGCTTGCTACACTGGAACAGGACTACAGGAGGCAGGCATGCTGGGTGAATCTTTTCTTGAAATTATACTGCATGGAAGCAGTTACCCTGGAGACAGTTCCACGTGTGGCCATGTTACGTCAAATGAAAGCGTGGTTATCACTGCCTTAATCATTGTTCCCAACTTCTCAAACATTTTGTAAATTCTACCTGACAATCCGGCCAAACATCTGTTTGAGAACCATTATGATAGCTCGAGAATGTAATTACGTAATGCAATCTCAGAGACAGGTATAAATTATAACATGCAATTGAATTGTACACAGCGGTACAGAGTGATATACCGTTCATTTATTTATCAGAATTTTTGAAAAATCTTACCATTTGTTACTACATACCGTGTTATAAACCGCCGGTTAGAAGTAAAGTTCTACGATGCTATGAATGTTAAGATATCAAAAATCATGTGAAATCTTATCCGCCTAAGTGGGCCTCTCAGCGCGTTTTGAATCCATGTTCCTTTATCATGCAAGCATGTCACTGTGATTTAAACGCCATTGTATTAAACTGTTCCTGTCTTTCTATATAGCTCATTTGGCTTTCGCTAAATGACAGTCCAACGCTTCAAGCACAGTGAACCAATAATAACAACTTCAATGACACGTCAAAAGTGCGGTTCATGCGACACGCGTAGCATCTTAGGCTGCCACAAGTGACCCCTCTCAGCGTACACCTGTCTTGTCTGTTCCATGATTGGCTACTATTTTTGCTGAATTCGTACGGAAGCCTATAGATGGTGAGTTTTCATTCCAGAAGCTCACTCACTCTACGTAAACGGCCAAGGTATATTCGAGACAAAATTACTTGGAAGATGTTTATGGCAACTCTATTTTGCCTTCTAACTTGTTTGCTTGGCGTCTCCAGCGGTGAGTTGGAAATGAAACTTGACCATGACTCTAACAATTCTTCATAACTACAGTTATTCAGCATCAGTTAGCGTTTTGAAATGCAACTTAGAGTAAGCATGAAATATGGTTAATCACTGGTATGTCATTTTTATTAAGACATAGTGACTAAAGTGATTTTGAACAATTAGACCACTTTAGTAATTTGAATAAAGCCGTCAGAAGACGAACACTGACAGATGTCAACATTTCGTATTGTCGCTTCAGTGCCAAGACAATAACATGAAAATACATAAGATGACAGGTAGGGTGAGACCGGAACATGTTAGAACATGGTAGGGGGCAGGCGTGACACCCCTACGCCCAGGGCATCCCTAGGCTTACGAACAACTGTTTGTGCACGCAGAATGCGGGTTTGGTACGCCTGATGGCGACGGCTCTGCGAAATGCAGGAAACGGGCGTTAGCTTGACTTAACACGATTGGGAACATTTTAGCCGGATCAAACTGATGACAGGTGGCTGATAAATGCCTACCTAGGGATGAAGCAGGTCGCTTACATGAACAGATGGTATGAGCGACCGACGACTGTGTGGTTTGACGATGCAACCATTTAGGTACATGTTCCCTTATTTTGCAGTTCAGTGATCTATTGGTATGGCCGATGCAGTGTTTACCACAACTAAAAGTAAATTGGTAAATACAATGTGAGTTGGTGCCAATAGGCTGTCTTTCCGTCATTGGGGTAACAGGTACTCGATTAGTCCGGTTGATAAGAACAGTTTCGGCAGCATAATAATTCCTCTGGACTGGGGAATTTATGCGCTTCGTTGTCCTCATATTGGCAAAATCTCCCTTAAATGGTAGTTCGATGTAGATGTTCTTTTTAGACAATATCGAAACCTACTGTGCCCGCACCCTCGGCTGATAACGTTTGCCGATCAATCTACTCGCATAAGCATTCTGCAACAGCGTTTCCTTGAGCGAATTTATCATCATCCAAACTAACGTTGTGCAAATTTTCCTTGCACGCTTGAATAACGTCTTGACTAATTTGTGCCTGTACCACACTGGGGAGAAGCTGGTAAAGTGCAGGTATTGCCCTTACCAAGTCGGTTTGATGGATCCAACTGCCTTTCGGTAAATCAACACGTACAGATATGGAAGGCAGTTGCTTTTCTCGGTTCCGCTGGCTACTTTTAGATTCGTTTTTACGTTATTCATGCAATTGACCAGATGCCTAATATACTCCTCTGATGAGCTAAACACTGAAATATCATCCACATCCCTCTTATATTATAAAAGAAGCGATATACCTACACTCAAATTTATTTCAATCAATGACATCAAAAAATTTGTTAACACTGGGCCCAATGGACTACATATTGCCACCCCATCTATTAGGCGAAAGAGAATGTTTTGGAATTGGAAACTGATGTTCTTAGTGCATAGCAGTAAGCTGTCCTTTACTAATTCGACTGGCATTGGAAGTTTTCGACCGGAGCAATCTGCTATTTCATACACGTAAGCAACTCTTTATTGTAGCGGAACATTGGTGAAAAGCCATTGTGCATTCAATGTGGACATCACTTTATCGCATAGGATAAACTCATTTAAAGCCTTTGTAAGCTCGGAATTGATTTTGTAATGTTTCAGTCGATGTGCTTTGCCAGGAACCGATGCTATGGTTTCACATAAGCCGGATTTCCGACCATAAGCATACTTTTCGACGTCTGCTTTAATTGTGCGCAATTATCAATAGCAATTTACTTAGCCCGATATTACATTAATTCTCGAGCTGACTGGCGGTAGTTTGAGTAAATGAGAAAGTCAATACACGCCTGGCCATACCGACAGCATTCAAAAACTCATCACATTATTTTATAATGTTCCAGAATTTATTCCTACGTGAAACAACCTCCCTTCATTAGAATTGGATGACCTATTGTCAATTTTGCACCGTATTGCTAACAAACAAATTTGTGTATAAGTCAATTATTATAACTGCTAAACCTTGTTTGTTCGTACTAAACCTGTGATAAAACATCATTTACTTCAGACTTCGTGTCAATTACGGTGGCAGTGGACCGCAGGCCATATTTGGACTTTATGAATCAGACAATTGGATCAACCGTGGAGTCACACTGTGGAAATCAAGTTGGTGGTTTATCATTACACCATAACCTGTCGTATTCGTGATTACATTAGTCTCAATACTTGTTTAGGCGCAATTTACTTCTCATGAGCTTTACAATGCAAAAAGGTTAAAATATTTATGTCCTTTACTAAATACCGCTTTCAAGCCGCCATTTCAAAAGATCTATTTCACATGGCATATGTTGGACAACGCCAACTCAACATTCTCACTTTGAACCACTCAGCGTTCGGTTTTCAAACTGGGTTCAAATGCGGGTTGCAGTCTGCGCCGATGGTTCTATGATCCCCGAACAATGGAACTGATGTGCGTATGTAAAATGGGAGACGTGAAGTACAAGGACACAAAGTTACTGCAAATCGGCGATTCACGAGCCATTCTCGCAATCCCGGAAGATCAATTTGTTGAGCGTGAGTTAAAAAAACATAAGAACGCACTACTTCGTCTCCAAATGGAGTATAATAGATTGTAAAATCAGTACAAACAACCGGTTTCGTTTGTAGAATTCGCATTTGTTAATACCGCCGAATGAAACGAAAATAATTGCAAACCAAATAATTCGAAATGACCCATTAACTTCACTCCCATTGTACATATGGTTAGCGTTCGTCACAATTTATTTATTCTCCCGCTCTGCTTTTTTATCGATTCAAGGTGACATTGTCGGCCAAGGCTCGTTCGGTAAGTCCTAATAACATTTAATACTTCTGATGTTTGTGAGTGATTGAAAAGTATGCGGCACGGCTCAACACCCGCATGCTATCAGTTCACTGGTTTTGAAATTTTGCTCTTATAAAAAACATAACATATTTATCGTTTCTTATTCCTACACCAAACGACTGCACATATTTTCTTTGTGTTAATGATATGTCTTTGCAAATCACGAACATAGATTGTATCATTAAAAAATTTCCATGTACATCATAACAGAATGTCATTAACTGATGTAACGGACAAATCACAAGTCAACCTAATTGGCAGCTTCATTGCAAACTGGGATTTTCTGACCATTACAGAGGTTGTGCAGAATTTCACTGTGCATGATATCGTGAGAAATGGTCAGTAAATTCAGTCAACATTTTGTATCTGCCGCAAGGGCACAACATTCAGATTTTGGAATGTCCCAAATTCTTTCCACCCCATGGGTACAATGTAATTCATAATTGCTTAGGTACGGTGCTTCGAATTTACTCTTAATGCCGCAGTTTTGTCGTACGCATGGACTACTAGTGATTTCTAACGATTGGAGTTTGACTCAGTATGTACGGGTTCGTCCCAATAGTTCACAAGCCATATAGTCTAACACGAAATTCTACAAATTCTACTGGATGGTTTTGCCTCATTATGTAGACATACTCATTTATGCGCACTTAATCAGTCGTTTCTGGAAACCGATGTAATGTCTGCTAGCAGCCTGTGCCAACTAACTCGCAGCTTATGCGACTGAACCTTATGGGACGTTGGTCGACCGATATCAATTAAGATTCTTCGCGTTCAAGGTGGCAAATTTACAGTCACTTACAAATCACACGGGAAATTAATCGTACAGATTAACGCTTTGGACATTACATCTTATTGTGGAGAGTTAGTCCGTAAAATGTGTAATTTAATGTGAAGCACGGGGTGTACACGTGACGTTCACATAAATCTATCAAGACGGTTCTCCCAGAACATAAGCTTTGTCGCGTTATCCTCATAGTACGTTGGATGTGGCCGCTTCCCTGCTAAATTTTGATCGCCTTTGCAGCATACGAATTGGAAATTTTGACGACTTCGGACCATAACGATACTTTACTTTCTCTGGTAAGTAATCTTATCATATTTGCTATTCATATGAAGCAATTGATGATTTATGCACATTTTTCCCGATATTCCATCCACGGTTCAAAAAAGGTGTGCACTTTTATGTTCCTAAAATTTGTGACGCATTACTGGATACACGGACCACGCCTGTTCTTGGTCTTCATAAATAACCTCGCAATGGATCTTCCTTCAAATTTTCTACTATTCGCCTATGATCTAGAGTTATTGCGTACTATCACTACAGATGAGCAGCAAGCAGCTCTGCAAACTTATCTGGATAGAGCTTGCACTTGATCCATTGAGAACATCACCCAGTTCAAAGCCACCGAAAACATCATAACCATTCACTCAAAGAGCACTCACATAAACTACTGGGGCTGAAAATTTTGTAGCGCGTTTCTGATACGAGAGACACCAGGGTGAGCGTGCAACAAAACCCTCGCTCTTTAAAAGCAGTCCGGAAGGCCCCAAAGAAAAGAAATTGTTGCCTTGACCTTCTGCATGGTAAATTCGGAAAATTCGCCGCCCTAAACCTTCCGCAAAGTTTTGGCGTGTACGGCAGTAAGCACTTAGAATACACTATCCAAGCGTGGCAACGGCGGCAGGAGCAGTACCCAACCGCGTTTCGAGTGTGCTATTCACTTGGCGAAGAAAGGTCAACCGTTTTGTCACCCCTTCCCTGTACTGTCGGACGGAATACTCTATGTGCGTATAGAAGGCATCATCGCCCACTACGGGGTAATCTCATATTGGTGCATCAGATAATAAAATACCATAAGCGCACTTAACACCATCTCTGAAACCTAGGCAAAGCAAATATCTGTGAGGCCAACGGTTTAAACTGACCACGATTTTATCGGAATGACACGTCGACGAAACTTTCTCCCTTCCGCTGCCCCAGCCATGAAACTATCTTGCAGTGCATGTAATTAGTGTCCAACACTATCATTATTCAAAAGTCAACTTGATGACATGTCGATATTTGTGCTCTATATGATACCCTAAGTGAATTTCAACTGATATATTGGTGCGAGGAAAGGTTGCACTAAAGTACTGCCTAGGAACTCAAGGGAGAAATGCTCACATCGGTTCTAATAGACAGGTTTTGGTGTGCCATATATTTTTCGAGTTTTCTCAGACATCAAATATTCTACATGTAATTTCCACCCTAAACATTATACTAGATCTGCTGAGTATCTAATTTCGTGCTCAAAAGCATTAGTCGATTGCTACATTAATTCGCCGTCAAACATCCTTTGCTCTTAAATTGTATACACTGAGTTCCTCTCTAATGAGCTTGCATGTTTTGTGAATTGTCTTCCTTTAGATAACGTCAGGTTGCAGATGGAAAATCTCTGATACACATTTCCCTTTTCCTATCTCTTATCCAGTTCCCCCACAAAAAAACAAATGGTATCGACTTGATATCCAAGAAATGCGACTCAATAGAAAACCAGACCTATATTGAATTTTGTCACACAGTGCATGGTAATAGAGAGATGGTTACGTGGGATTATCCAGAAAACTGGATCGGACCGGTGCGATATCTCAGAAACATGGCCTACGATCCGATTACGACTATTGTCCAAGTTGCTGGAATCTATTGGCCGAAGAAGCAGTGTTAGTGATCCGTTATTTTTGAAGCATGTAACGTTATCAAAGTGAAGAATAAGTGTATTATTAAAAGAGTGAAAGTTACTAAAATTTTAAAGATTTACTACTATAAGTTAATCAGAAATTAAACTGCTGATGAGAACGTACTCAAGACTGAGCAGGTGAGGTTAACCCCCTAACGTTTGGAATAAGTGAATAAGTGATTGAGTAATATGGCTTTTACTTTGTCTAGCAATATGCAGCACAAAGCATTTCCTCTCAGAAAATTATGCATGTATGTTGACAATCTTCTTTATACTGATCCCCTTATGTAACAGCTGGTAACAGCGCGCCGCTTCGTGAGTCTGCATTGTTTTGATTGCTAAAGTCATTTTTTGTTTATTCGATATCATCACATTATAAATGCTTTGACGCTTCCAACAAATATCAGGCACAGCTGCGAACACTCAAAACAAAGTCATTTCCATATGTTGGCTAACATATGTTCTCTTGATTGATGTTATTTAGGAGAACGTTAACTGCACTTTAGAAGTATAGGTGTGCGTGTGTGTAATCGCGACATACCGAATCAATCTTTTGAACGTTATATAATCTAATGTGTTTATTATTATTATTTTCTCAAGACGTGGACACGGTCATGACAGTCGAGGATAGCAAGGCCGATGTTTGTGCGATTTTTTTCGAAAAGGCAAGTACACAATTTCCTAAGTGCTCAATTAGGCGAAGTTGTTATCTATCTGCCTGAGCAAAAATAAGACTGCAATGCATCTTGTATTTCGCAAACCAGGGTCCATCATCAATGTACTTGAATAGATATTCAGTGTCTTTGCGGGAACTTTTAGGAGTGTTGAATCTTCAGATGAAAATGCATCAGAAATGTACTATTTGCCAGTGGAATCCTAGGTTGATTAATTTGTTTAGATATCAATATGCAATAAAAAAAACCACGTATATAATTGCTAGCAAATTTCATATGACAGTGGCGCATCATACATGAATTGATCATGTGCCTCCAAGACCCTGATCACAATTTGGTTTCAACAGGTAGTTTAAGACATTCTAAGTGGTACTGCGTTGCATGCTTAAGCTAATCTCCTCCTACTCCAGGTATAAAATGATTTCTTCTGGCCGCTACATGTGCATCCGAGTTTTAGGTCATTGCTGCTTGTGTAACTGATTAGTGGTTGGAAACGACAAGATGAGATATCCCTGTATAGCTGCTTGCTATATCATTTAGCTAGAAAGATGCGTTATGTTGGATTGCTCTGGATATATTTTATTTTAGCAACTTGCTTGTCCTGGAATTTCTCAAATTCCGACACCGTCTTTTAATCAACTTCGTGCTGCGGCAAATCGTAAAAGACATTCACCACTCTCAGTTCAAAACAGAGTTGGTGAGCGACCAGCTTCAAATCCGGTACTACAAGCTTGTACCTTTGTCCTCGTGTGTTGCTTCGTGTGCACTGATGTAGCAACGGCCTCAACATGGGGTATGCAACGAGATGTAATAACCTGTGCGTCATGATGAAGTCAATCCGTAGTCGATAAGAAGCTAGGGTGTAAAGTCCTAGTTTCTTACACCGGTCTTTCTACGGCGCACATGGTAAATTCGGAATCAGCCTGGTTGCCGCATGTTGCATTCACTCAATATTCTATCACGTCCCGGATGATGGGACAATAAGCGAGATAGCCATACTCTACCATCAGTCTATTATTGAGACAAAGATGCAAGTGGTAATCGCTTCGGATCAAGTGTTAAAGCTGCGCCTGAGCACCCACAGCATATGAATGCTGTCGATTCAGTTTCACTCCTTTAGATTGATGGATATGAAATAACAAATGATTCGAACAGGTCTAAACTGCAAGGTCTAATCCATAGATGTTTAGTATGTGTCTTTGTTTAAAGGGATTCATGAGTGAGTCTACATATCGATCCTATTCTTCTAGATTGGGTATTCGTGGTTTTCGAAACTGATAGCTAGGCAACTAAATCTACCAGCCCGTCAGACTTCGTCTACATACATAAACCAAAGGAGGATTAGATGCGCTTGACCATATATGAAGGTAACTACACTCATACCACGTTAGCTAAACTGCGTTGCAAAATAGGTTCCACATTTTACTAACAAGCTTCTGTAAAGTTATGTGAAACGATCTCAATCTGTGCGCTTCAACGTTTGTACTCAGCTATTTCATGTGCAAATCATTAACCCTTGGTTGTTCATATGACATACACGACGATAATTGAGGCAACGACCAATTTCCATCCTACAATACCTTATCAAATCTCCTATACCGATTCATTCCTATCACTAAGGATTGCTTATGGGGCAATAATTGCGTAAATATCAGAAATGTTACTTATCATCCACTTTTAGTTAACAGAAGACAAATGTCGCACATGATATTTTATTCGTCTAACTGAAAAATATTATGTTTCTTAAATTCACCAACACAGATATCTAACGCTCATTGGAAAGTGAGTAAATAAGGGGCACTAACCTTAAGCCCGGAATATGTTAACTGGGATGCCAATGTCTACAAATATGTGACAAATATGCCTATTTGCTTCAAATAACTAGGATGCCTAACTAATAAACCTTCCTTTAATTGTAAACATTAGTTCTAAGCAACACACAATATACTTCACGTTGATCAAGCTAATCGGTAATGGCATTTGTATTCCAGCGGTTCATGAAATGTCGTGTGGAATTCATTGAAGGATTGGTCATAAATCCTACGAAATTCCTAGTAAAACTGAACTTGCAGATGCCAGCACAAATGTGCGAGAACTCGATAACGGAATTGGCGAACCTGAAGCTAGCAAAAAGCTTGAAGCCGCCTAACGAAAACTGCATGTTTCCTGCACATTTGCGACAAGAAGCTGCCTTCTATGGTATGCACAACGATTTAATTTTAGCGTTAACTAACCGCCCCATTATCCTAACAATAGATTTTAATCTAAGAAACCTGTTTTACAACACTTGTCTCGCATGTTGCATTTGAGTAATTATACTGAGGGGAATATCTTAAGAAGGGAGCGCACGTACTCTGCTTGTATTATGCATCTAAGGAGCTCTAGTTTTCCCTATTCTGTTGCATGATATTAGATAATAGACCAAGTGGTTTACTGGTGCTCATAAAATGGTCAGTCGAAGCAGCAACCCATAATACCTTTGTGTAAGGAACAGGAGAACCAATGATGGTGGGGGCACGTACTATACGTTGTCACTGCGACGCTACTCTTATACAGAACCGATGGCTATATATATATTTTTATATGTTTATGTATGTGTATATATATAAGCTTGTCTAATAGTGAGTATTAGAAGGCTTAATGTGATTTCGATAATTTTCATCCCAGTTAAACTCATTCATACTGCGTCCAACTTTCTGGACAAATTTAGGCAGTCGTTTCTTGTGCAAGTTTTATAATTTAGGGTTATAGGCTAGTACGCTCGTTTATGCTAGCATTGTTAAATATTCAGTATCTCTCACTTGCACCGTCATACAAGCCCATTTGAGGAAAATTAAAATGGCTTTAGATGTTTGTATGCATACGTAAGTAACCAAAGTACAAAGCTTATTTTTTAAGCATCTTCCTTTAGGTAGCCCTGTAGCTTGCAACATTAAAAGGTTTTGAATTATGGGTGACTTCGTATATCGATCGTCGCATGGTCGTTCATCAAAATCTGTGCGTGTAATCTGTGTTCAACAGTGCCTCCTCACGCGCCTCTGACTGGAAAACCCTTCGGTGAGTCAAACCACAGGTCGGTAGAATGAGGCATTTAAAAAATTGAGCAAAGTTAATGCAATCAAGTTTTATTCAATCGTCATTATATTAATGCGCTAAATAGCTTTTACCAAAAACATGCCGGCGTTTTGTATAGTGCATGTTAATTGTTAAATAGTATGGGGAAGTTATGGTGTTTTTAGAAGATTCATCGCACCTCATCTCAGCCAGGCTCCCACCACAAATCCAGGAGGGGGCTAGACGGTTGTTCCGTCCTATTGGGACACGTCAGTAGCACGCAACCGCAGAATACGGCGAAATTCGATCTCAAGACCTTAGGCTTTAGAATCAGCGACTTATGCTACTGAGCCGTGGGTTAGAGCAGCGGATCGCCGTGATTGATTTATCATGTCAGCTTGGATTGCACTTCGTTTGGTAGCGGAGGGCAATTGAAATCGTATCTCCAGAGGCTAGACTTGAGCACTGCAATTTCACGATCTATGCCGCCGGCAGGATTAGGCGACTGGGCGACACTGACGACTTCCAAAATTACGAAGTGATCGTCCAGCGTTTTCCTGGATTTGTAGTGGCAATCTGGCTGTGTCTAGCTGAGAGAAATCTCCAAATCCTGTTTTTTGCCACCATTGACGGCCTCATTATTCTAACAACTGCAACCAGTTTGCAGTCGCTAAACATATCATGAACCCTTGTCTCTTTGCAACAGAATTTACGGTGATCGGTACGAAGCGGTATATCCAGAGAAGTTACCAACTGTTAAACGACGAAGACATTTGCCCCAGAGTAAGTGTTGTCTATAAATGGCCAAAGCTTTGACGTCATCATAGCTTGACTTCCAATTACTTAGAGTGCATGCAATGAAGCCGCTCTCTTCGTTGTACTATGCGTTCCTGGGAAAAGGATGTGCATTGCGTATCCATTTTGCTTATCTTCAGCTCATTATCAAATCCAAAGGAATAATAGCAAATTGCACTAACATCAAATCTGAAAATGAATACTTTATTGCTTCTGTGCAAACCGGCCGAACTGAAGTCTCTGTTTACGAAGCACAACTTCAGCTTATGGTCCAGCTGAACAGAAGGCCTCCAAATAGGTGCTCGTTCAACGTGGTGCCCAAGACGATCTCCAAACATTATTAGAAAAAATACGGAAACATACTTTGCTAAAAAAACAACCGCTTACACGAACAGGTGTTAAAAGAACTATTTGTGATCAAACTTTTAATCCTTAAGGCGTTGCTCGCATTTTCTTATAAATATAACCATTACTTTTACCGTTAATATGTATTAAAAACATTAGCTGTGAATGCTTGATGAAAATGAAGCTCATATATACAACTATTTTACTGATCACGTTATTGTTGAAAAGCAACGGTGGTTTATTCGAGACAACATTTTGCAACGAATGCTGCTGCGTTTTGATTTCGAATTCGACAGAGCAATAACATGTAGGCAACTATTTTAATCAATCATTTAATTTCTACACACGAGGTGGTCGAACTTTAACGACGTTCCCCTGCAGCTGGATCTACCACTTGCATTACTTGACGCCAATTACTGTTGTATACTTCTCCAACTCTGATTTACAGACGTTATCCATTAGATCGA